ACATCATTTCTCTTTGAGAACACCCGCCTGAAATTAGGAATCACCATTTCCTGAAAGACACGATTTCAGCAAGTCTGGGCAACTTCCTTTTTTAGGATTGAGGACGGAGGAGGCTCACCGGAAGGAAGGGGAGGATTGGGGACCCGGATGATTGGTATTGGAGATTGCCATTCCCGAGTTCACCCAGATGAATTGACTCGGCCGCTAAGGGGATGACCAGCTGCACCCGGATGCGGAGCTGTGACCCGGCTTTCGACCGGGCTTTGGGTAAGCCATGAGGGTACTAAGCTTGAACAATTGAGCCATGCTTAAGCTGGAGGTGGCTCCCTGTACGATTTCATGGACTGTTGGGTTTTGGACAGCTTCAAGATGTTTGATGGTTTGCTCCTGTCTGTGGGAAGAGTTAATTTTTAGATGACCTGCAAACAGTGGCGGTGTGATTGAATTTGGGGGACGTGAGGTACTTCGAACCCGATTGTAGTCATGAGCATAGGGAAGATGGTGAGTAGTTGTTAGTTTGTCCCTTCAACTGGATTTAGTTGTATAGTTGCAATCGACAAGAATCCGTACAGTGCATGTCAAGTATGAGTGCACCTCGACAAGTTCCCAAGCAAAGCACACCGCAAGGGCGATTCTATCATGAACTCCCACAAGCATTCTCAGCCTTACCTTGAGCATGCGCTCACAAGCTGGACATCTCGTGAAGCAGGGTGTCAACACCAGAATGGTATGTCGTACTCATGGCGAATTTCTGTCCTTGGCTGCACCTGCCTGTTGGTGAGACAAGAGAAGGAGAGATCGAAGAAGAAGAAGAAGCAGCAGTAGCAGCAGTAGCAGCAGTAGCAGCAGTGGCAGCCGTAGCAGCAGTAGCAGAAGAAGAAGAAGCGGAAGAAGAAGAAGAAGAAGAAGAAGAATAATAATAAGAAGAGGATGCACACATACATGCAGACACTTGATACGAACCTCCATGATGGAGTCGAGCGAACATGCGAGAAAAGGCGCACTGCTTCCCTTCAGCTACTTCAATTGAGGTAACAAAGCAACAGCAATTTAAGGGGACAAAAAATATATTTATCGACGACTAGTAGGGACACCATGCTGCATCACTACGGTCGGATAGTATCTTCTGGCAGTGACGGTGCGCTGGCCCCCTGCCTGCTCGCAAACAAAACGGAAGACGTCGAAAACAGCCAATGGCTCCCCCTTTGCAGTCGTCAGGGGTTCACACACACACACACATGCAGATACACACGCCCTATACTTCCAAAGTCCAGCAAAGTACATCTTTGGAAAGGCTAATTTTTTGAACGTTGGGAAGAACATTTTCATCATTCTCACTTGAAATGGCGACGGCAACTGGCTGAGCAAGGCGCTGGTATGCAGTATGCCTCGCATGCCATTGCAACAATCGTGTCAATAGGGCAGCGCCTGCCTGATGCAAGCATCTTGGGCTCATACCAGTCCAATCTGTCAATTAGATTTTGCACTAGCAATTGATTGGTGCAATGTAGGCTCCCCGTGTAGCCAACACAAGCGCAAGCGCAAAACAACGGCTGCAAAAAAGATCCACAACAATTGTTGCAAAAACGATAGCCCACAAAGGTGCGTCCAACAAGTGTCCGTTCTTACAGCAAAACATGTCCGTTCTACGGCAACCACATGTCCGTTCTATGGTTTGTCTACGCTTTGTCCACGGTTTGTCAACGACCTACCGGAGTTCCAACAAAGTGCCGCTCAGCAATTTGATCAACATGGTTTGCCCCTGTCAACAGCTCACTTTGTCTCATGGAGTTGCCACTGGCTTCCCTGTGAAGTTCACTGTATGGTTTGTGCATGGTGTTTTCTTGGCATGGATTCTGCCGCGATCTATTTAGGACAAATTTCGTAACCGTCCCGAGTCCCTTTGAGTTACCATGAGCCAACACGGCCGCGCACCCTGAGAGCCTTTTTGGATTTGGAAAGTGGAACCCATGAAAACTTGGGTCAGTGGGAAACCCAAACCCCCCGTCTCCAAATCCGAGGCGTGGGGTGCTGTTGGCCAAGGAGGGCTGGCTGGCAGGACCCTCGGGTGTTGAGCATTTTGAAGCGGTCGATACGAGCGGCGCGGCCGGTGTCCCTTTTTTTTTTGAGGCAGCTGGGTGAGAGCAGATGGCGCAATTCCCTGATCTGTTGCCCTGTTGCCCCTCGCACGAGCTGAAATGATTGGAAGTGGGCCTTCCCAGTATGTCTTGGTGGAGCATGCAGGAGAAAGTCGTCATGTTGAGGGCAGCTTGTTTCTTGAACGCTCATGCAGGAGTATTTGTCAGGTCTTAGAAAGTTATACAGATGTCATACCTTTCCAGTCTCAACACCACCTGTCATGCACCTTTCACCCCTTGGAAACACATACGCCCCTCTCAAAGAGCAGCTATCATCTTTTGTTGGGTCCTATCGACACCCTCCAATCCTCAATACATCACTATGTCTAGCTGATGTGGGCAAAACGTTAGTTGTACCAAGCTCACCGGGGTCCACACGCGCTCAACCTTGGGGTACAGCACCGCCGTTGGAGCAACTCATCGCCCCGGGAGAAGCGGCGCGGATCCGAGGTGCTGCGGGTGCCGTCAGCAGAGCTGCCCCTTCTGTTGAAGCCAGGCACCGAGGCAGAGGCGCGGGGAAGGGTTCAACTGGACGGCGCCCTTCGGTGCAAGCGTTGCCTTTTGGTCAAAATGATAGAATGAAATCCTTTTGGGGGTGATGTTTCATGGTATCATACTTTGGGCGCTGAACCGGCCTGGCCTGTTTGGTGTGAATTCCGAAACGCTGCTTCCAAGCTTTGTTGGACTCATGTCAACCTGCTCACCCAGGCTGCCATGTCTGCCTGGGTTTGCTTCTGTGGTACAGTAAATATTTTGTTCGGAACACCAGTGTAAGATGGCCACGTCCAGTGCATGAGCCAGATTAAGAGCGTGCGACGTGATCAACATATTCTATTTGTTCAGAGCTGTGACAGGGGTTACCCTATTTTTGACCTGCCAAATCAACCCCCTTTCAAAAGCGTGTTGCTCCGCATGGAGGAACGCTCCATTCGACTCGAGCGGCGGAAACCCGCAGTTTTGGTCCCCTCGATCACTCTGAGAGACTGAGAGCGCAGGCGCCACTGCTGCGCCGGAGCGCTCAGAGCATCCGAGTCGGTTAGGCCCAAAGGTTGGACCAACAGACTGGTCACCAGGTTTGGTCCAACCTGTTAGAAACCACCTGCGGTTTCTTGGGCCCAAGAGGCTTGCCAAGGGGACTATGACCAAGCAACAAAAATCCCATTTCGGATACAGCCCAAAGTGAGCGGCTCCGATGAACAACGGGAGAAACCGGTTGGATGAACATGTCCCCAGGACCGAATAAATCTCCGAAAGCAAGGCTTCGCCAAGAGACCGTGGAGTTTTCAAGGACCTGGCCTGTGCTTTGAACTGCTGCAAGCCGATGTCCTGGTTTCTGGTTGGACGCAATCAGCCGCTCACTTTGGGCTGTATCGGAAAGGAGTTGGGTCGTTTGGTCTTGGTTTTCCAGTAGGGATAGCAGATCTCATTGCCAAAGCTCTGTTGTTAAGAGCCCATCTATTGATTGAAACCACTACTTTGTCACGGAGAAGGCCCCACAGCTTTGCCACGGACTGCTCAAGAATTGATCGAGCATCAGGCAGATGGGAGGAATTCTCGGAAAGACAGGTCTTCCTGCAATCAGTGGTGGCCAACCACGCTTTCTGTATACAGTGAAATTTCGGGTAAAACTAAGGCGATGCCAACAAAGGTTCGGCATCCCTCGAAACATGTTTGATTTGGGGCAGGGAGAAAACGACCCGAGAGATCTCTGAGAGTTTCTTGTTTGAAAGACTGGACTGATGGAATTGGGGCTCTGTCTGGGGTGGATGGTCTGACTGACTGGACGGCCACGAAATGCAATCGGTCTTTTCACCTCTCCAACCACCGGGGGAGGTGTGGTGCCTCTTTTTGAGGTCCGTCGCACTGGGATTTGGTTGTGGGAGGAGACCAAAGGGGCACCGAAGCCCCAAACGTGGGGGCTTCATCCCGTATGCAGCGACTAGGTGCAGGGGGCTGGAGGGAAGCCAAACGGAGACCGAAGCCGCTCTGGGCACTTCCATATGGCTGTGGGTCAAAACCAAATGGTACCACATTGGGGTAGGTGCACCACCCATTTTAGAAAACCTATTTTAGTGTTGGGTTGGGATGTTCACAGGTAGTACTTAGTACGATTTGGCTTTTGACCCATGGCCATATCTCAAAAAAATACTGGGGACGCTCCTTCTAACAGCCGGATTCGATTCTCCCAGAAGGCCTCCGCAAATGGATCCAAGTCTTCCATTTGGCGTTTCGGCCCCTTTGGAGCTTCCCCGGAATCGCCTGGGGGAGAGTACCGAAAAGCCCCTGAATAGCAACCAGTGCCGATTTTCCCAACTTCAAGCCAAGAGGAGACCCTGTTGAACCACCCAGAGACAAAGCCAACGTTCGCACGCTCAACGTGAGATCTCTCCCAGGCCTCATCCGGGAAGCCGCGGCCGAGTGGCCGAGCGGAGAAAGAGATGCGGCCGGAAGTTTCAGACCCGGACGCATGGACCCTCAAGGTACCGCGAAACGGGTCAACGGTTGGACCCGGAGGAGCCAAGCCCAGCTCCGAAATGGGAAGAATCCCCACAAACAAACCCCGCTGTGAGTGGGACGGGGGTATATAGCAATCCGGGGTCGACATTCTTGCCCTAAAGGTATGTTGTATGTTGTGATGCCCTTCAAACGTGCCTGAAGACCTCATATTGGTATTGGTCGAAAATTAACACCCATGTCTGCTCGTGTTGAGCGAAACCGCCATGAAACCGACCATTTGAAGGGCTTCCCAGTTGACCTAGACGGCCCTCAGTCGCATTAGCTTAGGGTTGTCGTATTCTCTTGTGGACACCGGGCCCCTGAAACGGCCAAATTTCGAAGCCAAGGGCAGTCGGGACTTGGCAGGGCGAGCGCGCCCGCGTGCAGCGGCAGCGGCGGTGCCAGGAGAAGCTCCGCATGAAACGGGGGCGCCCCTTGAATCCAGATTCCTAAGTTTTCCCGGAGGGAGAATCATGTAATTATACGGGTTTCGGGGATTGATGTCCCCTGTCTTTTGAGATTTCAGGCCCTCAGACTTGATTTCCCTTTTCTTTTCGAACCTTTTTCCAAAAGTCAGTGTTTTGTGGGTTTGGTACGAATGATCCACGCAAAGAATGGGGAAGGTAGCCCTAGCACTGTGCCATCGTCAAAATCACACGCCCAATGTGGTAGTTATGTCAAAGGGAACCACCCTCTGTTTCTGACGTTCACCACATCGAAGAAGGTCAACCCAAACAATTGCCCGGAACTCGCGCCCTGGGATTCCCTCGCAACTTTCACCCCCAAAATGGCCGACGGCTTCTCTCCTGTAAGGTACCGTGCCTCGAAAAAGCACACACGCCAAGAGCACCATGCGGCATGCCGCACCGCGGGAAAGAAGCGAGCAGGGCATGGGCTTGGAGAGGCACAAACACCTTTCTGACCAAATATCAGATAAAGTGCCCCCCCATTCCCTTCCCCGCGCCCCAAACCGATTGTGTTTGTCTCTAAATGGACATCAATGGGTCTTATTTCAGCCCAAAGAAGATGCGATACTGTTTTGTGCAGCTGGGGCGCACCACTTGTATTGCGCGTAAAGCGCCTGTAAAATGAGTTGCTTCTTGGACACCATCCTCAATCTGGTTTGCAATGGCAAACCAGTCTTTTGCAAGACCATGCACAAAACACACAAACATTGACCTGAATCTGTGGCTGTTTGTTGGTTTTTGCCGTTTTGTGGGTGGCCTTAAAGGGAAACACACGGAAAACCCGCCATGCCATCTCGGGGGACATCCTGAATGGAAGCGAAACGCGAGGAGCTGCGCCGTGCCGAGGTGGCCATGCAGCGGCTCCTTGAGGCGGACCCATAGAAAGGACCAGCCCCGCAAACCCCGTTTTCTGGCATAACGTGTTCTTTTTGTTTTTCTCCCCCCGCAGAGAGGCCACTGGGTGTCATTTTTGTGTTGTTTTTGGCGTTTGTTCGTGTTTTTCCCTTCTTCTTTTTTTTCCAGCAGAGAGGACAATGAGTGTTTTGTTTTGGTGTGTGTGTGTGTGTGTTTTTGGGCGCTTGTGGGCACATGGGAAACCAGCCCTAAAGACCAAACAAACTGCCAGTCCAAACCAGCAATTAGAGGGCACCTGATTTGTATTCATTTCTGCCATTTCTGCCTATGGCGAAGCTGCGGGTAAAACGAGAGAAACCATAACGCGTTCTACTCGCTGACGGCTTTGGCGGCTTCTGTGTGTTGCTGTTTGTAACTCTGTGTAACTGTTTTGTTTCATTTGGTTTGGTTTGGTTTGGTCGGGTGTGTTCAAATGTATGATTGAATTGCGTTCAGCAATTCGGATTCATGTTCGCTGAATCCCCAACGCCACTGAATAAGTGCATGGGGCGAAGAGCAAAGAAATTAGTTCGTGCGAGGTCTCCATTTCAGCCACTGGGTGGATGTCGGAGACTTCAATAAAACTTTGTGCAGCAGGATTCGAGCACTGTGGATTTGTGTGCGGCTTTCAGGCATACGCATTTGGCTCGTTTCGTTTATGCTTTTCCGGCCGGAGATGTTCAGGCGATTGGCTTCCGACGGTAGGCTTTGTGCCAAATGAGCGAAAGGGCGTAAGGTGCCTGTGGAGTGCCAGTCAAGGCGATTCCGTGAACTGCTGACGTAAGTGTTTACGTGTCCCTTGAGTTCACATGCCCTGAAATCTCGGACCGACGGCGTGAAGGTGGGCCGAGCGCAAAAAAATCAAGCCCTTGTTTTCCCCAGATGGGTTGAAGACGTGAGGAGCAGAAGAGGGAGCATGGGTCAAGCATGCTCGTCTGGTGCATTTCACCCTGTTGCCGGGAACCGACTCCTTTGAGCACTCGAAAGTTAGAACCAGCCTGGTGAATTCAGAACGCCAGCAGCAAAAACTGAGTTCACGCCCCCACCCTCAAGCCTTTGGGCTTCGAGCCTGGAGTTTCCATCGTTGGGGAGGCGCCAAGACGGCCAGGTGGTGGAAGCACCGAGCGGCGCCCAAGGCCCTCGGATGTTTGGACAGGTTGACAAAAGCGGGGCGTTGATCAATTTTCCCCTCGGCAGGTTTGACCACGGGCAACATTCTTCCCATGGTGAAAGTCGATCATATCTAAACTGGTGGTTTCCCTGGTGGTCGCCCCGTGTGAAGGGCCTTTTGATGAAGGGCCTTTTGATAAACGTTTGAATTTGGCGGTAAGTTTGCTTAAATGGTTGGAAGCCCCGCAAAAGTGGCAAGCATCCCCACCGAATTCTGTCGCTACAGTTCTGTCCGCTGAAGGGTCCCACATGTCAACAATGCCAAGCCATATTCACAGCCACTACCCCTGACTAGCCACAATCCAAGAACCCTCCAATATGCCTCTTGAAGATACCCCAAGCTTCCCATTAAGATTTCTTTCATAGGGTGTGAGGGTATGTCTTGGACACAACCATACTGCAGGGACTTACCTGAGGTTAGCATTTGGGCTGGTCATCCAAGTGAGAATTTGAGCGGTCAAAAAAGCCCTTGGCGGATCAATACGGCTGTGAAGTCTTGCCCTGGGAAAGAGCACGCACTCTGCGCTTGTTTGCCGAGGCCTGTTGTGTTGGAGCCAGAGCAAAGGAAGCTGATTGGAGCATACTCCTTGCAAAAGGATCTCGTTGCGAGAGATATCTCAACTGTTTGTTGCTTGGAGGCATGGTTTGATGTCTCTTGGTGAGATCCGTTCATATTCGCCCTTCAAGTGTTCCGAGAGAAGGCCCCATCATTTTCGCGGTGCCATGGGTGGGGCTTCCAAGAGCCTCGAAGCCAAGCAAATTTTCCATCTGGGAGAACTGGCCGGCGTGCCACGATTCAACTAGGATTGTGCGGGTTTTGGAGGTATGGATTTACCTTCTTAACTTGGAACTGGACGGGGGGGGCTTGCCCAAAAGGAAAGCTTTTGTCTTCCAGATCCCGATCCTCAGCTTCCAGGTGGGGCTTGGGTGTTTCTTTGTAAGAACCTGAGACCAACCAGCAAACGCTGCTTACTTGGTGCGAACCTGGGTGTTTTGCCACTTCTGGGGCATCTTTCTCGGTTTTATTGGGAGAGAGAGGTGAGTCCTGATATTCCCTCCTTTTCATTTGGCGCTTAAGTCATGGTTCGAAGGGAGGCTAAGGGGAGAGCGTCCCATGTGACGGAGGCGCGGCAGCATCCAGCCAGCGCGGCTGAAAACCAAACGTTTGCGACCGGCGCGGCCGGTTGCTTTTGTCTCCCAGAGGGAAGCTCCAAATCTGGGGATTGAGCCGTTCACGTAGACTAGTCTTTATATGCTGTTTTTTCCATTTGTTTTTGCGTTTGTTTTTTGTCCGATTCATTTTTAGTAGGGGCATACCAAGGGTTGGAAAGTAGTACTTGTAGTGAACCCAAGGTGACTGACAGGTGACACCTCATTCTTCGATCCCTTTTGGTTTTCCTTCGTCGTCCAAAATAAACTTACCCAACTGCGGAATCGGTTTGGGGGCTGATGCCCTTTCAGTTCAACTAAATCGGTGTCCATTTGGTTCCGGTGTCCATTTGGTTCAACTTATTCCCTTCGCGGGGTTAGCCCTCTAATTGGTGATAACCCACGAGGCGATCCCCACTTACTAACTTGACAACGACTATCCAAGTGGGGGTTTCCTTTTTGGAGGAGGGTTCAGGCGAAAGATTTGTTTTTCGATACATGCAACATGTTTGGTTTCCCTGTACAGGTTGCCTGGATAGGAGGGCCCAGCGCTTAACCTCGCGGTTTTCTCAGGGGCATCTGGCACTCGGTTCGGTGGCTTTGGCTCTTTGTCCTTGTCCTTGCGAAGCACAGGGTGAAACAAAAGCCGATGGATTCCATGGGTTTCAGTTTGTTTCTACTACCAGTGGGGCGCTTCGTTTAATCCCCTGCACCCGGGATGAAACGAGGCAAACTCTCGGAGGCTTCAGGAACGGCAAAGCGAAGTCTGCAGCCATTTGCTGCTCACGTGCTGAAAACATGTTCACTCCACATGGGAACCTGACTGGGGGATTCTGGCCTGGACCATTTGCCTCCAGGGACTTGGTGGGTTTCATGCAAGTTGGCGAGCGGCAGCACCTATTACACTTATGCAGATTGGCGGAAGCATGTAAAAGTGGTTGTACATGTCCTTATTTCCCCCCCTTGGGAAAATGACTCTTTGAAGCTTGGTTCACACGCCTCTGCAAAAGGGGCACCCAAGAGCAAGTGTGTTGAGAGCCAAGGAGCCTAGAGAGGAAATCAACAACCTTTGCGCGGAACCTCCACACTCTTGTTGGGTCCATCGTTTTAGTCTCGAAATCTCCTTTGGAGAAAGGACCCCCCTGTTTGGGTTGCAACCCATGTGGCTGTTTCTGAAAAACGCTGGAAGCATAGGACTCTGTACTTTGGATATCCCTCGGCTCCATCTTCCGATAGAAGTGGACTCGGAAACTTGGAGTCTTGCGCGACCTTTGGGCTCAAGAGAAGAGGAAGCATTCTCCGAAGGCTTCATGGAGAGGCCGAGTCAGATTCGTGTGGATTCGGTGGTGAGTTCCAGGACGTAAGTCACTTCACGAACAGGGGAGTAAAAGCAAGTCCGGCCGTGATGAAGGTCGTTTGGGGATTCCTGGTTTCGGGTTTGTGATCCGCGGTGCTTTTGTTTTTCCGCCAAACTAAGTGACTAGAGGTCGCGCTCGTGCTTAGAGACCTGGATTCGTTGGATCGTTTTTGGGTCGCGTTTGTAGCAATTTGATGCAACTGAGAACCGAAGGAGGCATGATGCTGGACAAAGTGGAGGGCTACACCTTGGCAAACAGGCTTAACAGTTATCGTGTGTACAGGGAACTGTCCGAGCTTGGCCTGGTGGGAAAAAACAGTTTCCAACCACCTATCCAGCAAAAAGCGATCCCGCTGTTGCACGGGGTCATTCGCATCAACTCAGAGACGAGTTGTTGAAGGGTGTGCATTCCACACGTTCGCGACCTTTGACATGCAGCACTTGTCCCCAGATCCATGCAGTTCTTCAGCCAGTGAACAGGGCTTCAGATTTGAAGGGAAGCCAAAAGGAAAGCCGTCGGGTTCTCCTCTAGCTTGTTTGGCCAAGACGTTTCAAGTGCCCTCGCATTGGAGAACACCCAAGATGTGAATGTCATCCAAGCCAATCACCAATCTACACTTCCATTTTCTTAAGAATATGTTGCCTATGTTCCCCTGTCGTTTTTTAACGGGAATCTATCACTACTGGACGTGTTTTTTCAGTCGACTTTCGCAAGTTGTTGTCTATGTTCTCCTGGTGGTTTCAAAGCGAATCTATCACTAGACTGGACATCTTGTTGTTGTTTTTTCCCCCAGTTGACTCCAGCAAATGGAAGAATACCCCTTTTTGTTGTCCCAGGGTTACTCCGTCCCAGAGATCGACTCAAGTTCCGGCGCCAGGATGACGCCGGCGAAGCGCTCGCGCCCGGTCGTGGCGCCTTGGTGTAGACTCGGTCGCTGCGAGGTCGTCGCGGTGTTTCTTGCGTGGGTCCGTTCTTTGGAGGGTACCTGTACTTTGGGGAAGCCACAAAAGCATACTCAAGTCCTGAGTTCCTGGACTTTAAACATTTTGGGAAGACCATTGTAGTGGTAAATAACACACGTTTGGGGGACTTTTTCCGGCCTGTCCACTTCCCGGAAGTGAGTAGGGACCAACTCCGAAGTGGTTGGACATACCACCCGTGATGCCCGCAGGGTTATTGGGCATTTGTCCTTTGAGTTTGGTTGAAAAGTGAGAGGCATCAGGTTGTCAGCGTTTGGTGCGAACCCGACCAGCATTCTGAGTTGTCACCAAAGGCCTGGGCTATCTGGCAGACCTATCCGGTGAATGATATGGGGGTTCCTTCTTTTTGAGGGGCCCCTTTTCGGCGGTTTCAAAGGGAATACCCAGTTTGGGGTTTCCCTAGTTTGAGACCCCTAGATTCAGACCATAGACTGTTCCCTTCTTAACCTTCGTTGTTTCAATCGGGTTGAGTCCAGGCGAACGGTTGGACAAACGTCGTGAACCTTTGTCGTTGACCACCAGAACCTCGCTTTGGCTCCCTACGAAAACTCCCTACGAAAGAACTCAGCTGCTTCGTTCAACCCCAACGATCTTTGTTTTGGTTTGCCTCAATCAGCTTGAACAATCCCTCTGGATGTCCAGGGGCCAAACCAGGCGTGGCTCCAAACCTTCGGCTGGGATTCCACGAGAGGCCTCGATGCGCGCGAGGGCGATGCGCGCGAGTCGGATGCGAGGTGGCGGGTTTGGCCCTGGCAGCTTTCGGCACCTACCTTTGGCCCAGCTTCGTGCCGTGCGGGTCCCAAAGAAAGCCGAGATATCGCTCATGCTGCCGTTGGTCCTCGCTTCCTGTTGTTCATGGGCTTCAAACTTTTTGGGAAGGCCAGTTTAGGTGGCATACAAAAAGTCTAGACTTTTCCTCCCAAGACGCTCAGGACTTGAGCGGTAGCTAAATGGGTGTTCGTTTTGTTTGGAACCGTTTCAACTGAACGAAGTCCCACTAAACAAAATTCCACCAACTGTTGAGCGGGCACACATTTGACACTTCTTTGCTGGCATGGGTCGGAAGCAAGGGCGTGGGCGGGCAGGCAGGCAGGCAGGCCGGCAGGCAGGCAGGCCGGCAGGCAGGCAGGCAGGCAGGCGCGCAGGCAGGCAGGCGCGCAGGCACGCAGGCACGCAGGCATGCAGGCACGCAGGCACGCAGGCACGCAGGCACGTAGGCACGCAGGCACGCAGGCACGCAGACACGCAGGCACGCATTTGACCCTTCAGACACGTTTTGTTTTGGACAAGGGGATGATTCTTCAGATTGGGATATTTTGAAAACCAAAGGAGGTGGGTTGCCTGAGTTGCCTGACCAGATGATGCAGATTTGTTGGATACACGGAGTTTTCAATCTTTTTCCTGCTTGCTTTGGCCAGTAAAGGTCACGGTGGCTTTGGGTGGATTCATCCCTGGGATACAACGGTTGTGGTTCCCTTTGTGGCGGCTGTTTTCCCAATGCTTGTGTCTACTTCATGAAGAACCAGCACCAAGTCTCTTGTTCCATTTCATAGCTCTGTTCTGCATTCACTGAATTGACTTTCGACCGGCAGACACTTGATGGTTGTTGTGAGGCCATTTTGTCTTCCCCCCAGTTGTCCGTGGAAAGGGTCTTTGAAATCTGTCCGTGGAGAGGGTCGCTTAAATCTGACATGTGGAAGGGTCGCTTGAATTTGACATGTGGCTGTAATCTCAACATGTGCGGCGACTCGAAATCTGCGAACCCGGTGTGCTGCCAAAACGCGGAGCCGCTCATAGATCATAGGGCCGGTTCGTTGACTTCCTGTTTCGGACAACCTTGATGATGTTGACCCCGGATTAATAAACCCCTGCTTGTTGATAGCGAGCTCAACTGGGGGGAAAAAAGGGCTGGCCAGCATCCTTCACTTCAAAATCCCTTGTGTCAGGTTTTGGACATATCGCAAAGAAAAGGCAGCTGCATGGTGTTTTTTTGTCCCGGAACACCAAACCAATCCAAACGACCACTCAGGGAAGCTGAGTTCAGCGATCGCTCCGAGCGACCTGCGATGTTTTTTGGGGCTCCCTGGACCTCTTGGGTCGCGGAGGCCGCCGGCGCCAGCGGAGGCCTGAGGGCTCAGGGGCGGCGGTGGTCTTTGAGGTTGAACCCCGCTCATGGCTTCGGCTTGTCCATTTGTTGTTGTTTTTTTTGCCGCAAGAAACGATAGAACTTCAGATTCTTTGGAGAGAGCACAAGGAACCAATCGGGCCATACGGTTTAAAGAGGACACGTAAATTTTAGATCCTTGGACGCCCTGAAGACTGCAATAGACAAAATTCACGCAACGTGCAGTTGGGAGCAGTGGCTGACTGGTATTTATGGGTTTTGTTCTACCCGAGGATTTTGTCCATGGAAGGGAGCCCCCTGCATGGAAATCACGCGTTGGGGGTACCTTTGGTGGAGTTCCCCTTTTTCTGTGGTGGGAAGCCAAAAATTGAGAAACCGAAGCCACGAGCGTCCAACCTAAAAGACCCGGCCACTGAAAGCCAGGCACAAACCGGGGCTTTCCGGAACGAACCCGACCGACTGAACCGAGCGGGGAACCCAACTTGAAGGAGTTTTCTCCAACGAGAGACACATCAACCAAAAAGGTGAAAGGGCCAGTTGTTGTTTTAAAAGTTATGTTTATTCTCCGGGACATCTGCTGGTCAAAAGTTCTTCAGTTCCTTCAGAGCAATGCTTTCAATTCGGCCCCGGGCGTCTTGAGAGACGGGGGACGCCTTTTGCATGTTGAGTTGGACTGAGCAGGAGTTTCCGGAAACATGTTTGGGTGTGTGTTTTTAGGGGATTCCCGAAATGGTTTTTTTTTTTTTTTTTTTTTTTTTTTTTTTTTTTTTTTTTTTTTTTTTTTTCGCAGTTCCTTTAGAACCACATTTTTCCACAAAAAGAGGCCCACCTGTCTTGCGTGGTTTGAAGGGGAACACAAAAGGACGCCGACCGTTGGGATCCGTTATTGTTATTTTGCCAGGCAAAGCATGGCGCAACCCTGTGAGCAGTGGCTTGTCAGCCGAATTCGGCAGAACCCCGCCGATGCGGGCCAGATACCATGTTTTTGGTGGTCAGAGAGGGATCTTGAGGGAACCTCGGATTTCGTTTGGAGCCGGGCTGAAGCAAAGATTAGGACAACCTCTATGAGCTGATAGCTCACGTTTCGTTCGGCTTAGGGAACCCTTAGGTTGGATTTCAGTTGGCGGCTTGTTGCTTGGCACCCTTTACTTGGGTGAAATTTTCCTTGCTTCCACCTGGTGCCTGGGGATTCTCGTAAGCCACCCGGAGCGAGGCGAGGGGGTCGCCCGCCGCGGGGGCGCCTGGGTTCGCGAGGCTCAAAAAAGGGATGTGAAGGCATTCCTTGCGGATTTCAAGGGAAACAACCGGGCATCCAATGGATGCTACCTTGGTATTCCGGGTGCCCATTTTCAAGGCATCCAAAGAATTCAATGGGCAGTTTTGTTTGAAGACGGCATTTCAAGGGAAACAATCAGGAGAAAACAAGAAGCCGGTTGTTGAGGGGCCGTTTTGATGTGTTTGATCTCGGTTGCCTGGCTATTGCAAGGAAAGAAGTTAAAAGTCAAGCTGCAATGCCCTGGTTTTTGGGTTGGACTGGCAAAGGCAAGGGACACTGCAGCCTGAGCTGTAGGTCGCGCTTATGGCTGGAATCACTTCAGTTTTACCACATTGGTGAGCCGCCTTTATTTCAGCAGAGAAACCGCCCGTAGGAAAAACAGACCACCCTCTCATCGCAGCCGATGGGACCGTTTTCCCCACCCAGGTTGGTTGGTTTCTTTGGGAACTGAACTGAGTGGATTGGGGATCTTTTACTTGTGGGAGCGATCTGCCAGCTTCGACTTTAGTGGGTTTCCATCCGAGGTGTCCCAGACTAGTTTTCCTTTAGGGACGCTCTGGGGGGGGGACTGGGTTCATCTGCGCACCTGAAAATCAGTTCATTTGCGCACCTAGCGAATCAGAATCAACCACCCACCGAGAATTCCGTTCATCCGCGCACCTGACTGCCCCGTTTCCACAGCGCTGTGCACTTTTCCTACAGATGGATCGCATCGCCTTACGATTTATGTTTTGTGTTTAGCTCGCATCACTGTAGGTGTTAGGGTTCGTTGGGGTTCTGGCACCTAGAACTCTGTTCATCCGCGCACCTGACTGCCCTGTTTCCCCAGCGCCGCGCACTTGTCCTACTAGTGGATGACTGGCTCGCATCATTCGCTCACATGACTTTCAGGTTTTAGGCTTTTGGTTTTTGGGTTTGGGTTGCGGGCTTAGGCTTTTGGGTTTCGCTCACATGACTTTAGGTTTCCGGGTTTAGGGTTTAGGGTTGAGGCTTCTGGGCTTGGCACAGATCACTTCAGGGTTCAGCACCAGCTTGCGCACAGACGTTGGTCGGCGACATGGAGTTGATGTTCTTCATGCAATATATATGAGCTGTGACATGTTGTCTTGAATCCAATGATGGATGGAAGAGGCTGCTGTTCCCTACCTTCAATCTCCCACCCCCAAAGTTACAGACATGCGCCTGAGAGCCAAGGAGAAAGACTTGAAGCATCAAAGCCTCCAAGAACCATGTAACCTCTGAATGAGTTGAAAAACATCAGGTGCAGAAACGAACTGATTTTCAGCTGCACAGACGACACGCATCCCCCCTCTCGGTTCCAATGTGGACCAGAGGATATGATGGTGTTCCTTTTGGTTTTTGTTTGAAACCAACCAAAACGGGGCTGAATATACAAAAGGACATATTCATTTGGTGAGCCCGGGTAATTAAACCATGGCTTTTACCCATGATCCATGCCCGATACGCCAGGCGCGAAGCCCTGTGTCCCATGAGGGTCATGAGGTCGTTTTGGGGAACGCCCCACACTCAGGCTTTGTTTTCCAGAGGTCACCTGCGGGTCTCTGACATTGGGTGCCATTCTTGGCTTGTTTGCTTTTTAACTTGCTGGTGCGTTCTCGGCAGGGAATGAGTTGGAATGATTTTGGGGATTCTCTGTACAAAGGAATACCGAATGGTTGAAAGGAAACCACCAGCGAGTCAAGTTGGCATGACCCTAAGGAAACTGCCAGCGAGTCAAAGCAAAATGAAACCTACGAGGGTCCCGAAAAGAGCCGCCATGCGGACATCGCCTCGGCTGAGGCTCCTTGGGATCTGCAGAGCTGCCTGGAGGCGCGATGATTTTTCCACGAATCCGATGCAACTGGGGGTCAAGCAGTGCTTGAAGAATCGCATCCCCCGAAAAGTGAAGGTCCTCCCGCGAAAAAAGAAAAAAAAAAGGGGGGGGGAAACATATAACGAACCATGAATGGTTCATTATTAAAGGGGAGGGGCAAATCAGGATCTGATACTTGTGCAGTCTGCGGTCAAACAGATTCCCAGCATGGTAGGTGCACCAGAACAGTCGGATGTTTGTAATATGCCGGTGGCTGAGACCCGGAGGTCCTTGGACAGAACCCAAGAACGGCCCGAAGCAAGCCATCTTGGCCCGTGGGGCTTCTTGGGGCCAGTTTCGAGGGCTCGTCAGGTGCCACCGGACCGGACTCTGCACGTTCGCTTTTTCAGTCCGCCGGGATCCGTGGGCCGCAAAGAAGAGGCACGGGCCGCTCCCATGTGCCGTGAGGATGGTCTGGATGGCGCCATGGACGCCCGGGAGCTCGGGGTGAACCCTGCGGGATGGTGGATGGTTTTTTTGAGCGGAGGCCACTGGCCACCCCTGTTGGGGACGGAAACATGGAGATTTCTTCTGAGAGGAACATTTATTCTCAAGTGAGGCTCAAGAGACCTCCAAATTCTCGCAAGCCGCGCGCGCTTGACCGGTGAGTCCGATTTGCGTGCGGAGGCTTGAAATCTGGCATTGCCGCAGGGTCCTGAAGGTTCTTAAATGATTAAATGAGACCGCTTCAGGTATGAGCAAGTGGGGTGGTATGAGGACCCAAGTCTTCCATAGTCCTAGGACCCATAATGGGCTAGGGGTTGAGAGACAGCACCTTAATCTCAGCAGGCAGCAACGTATACCAATGACTCAACTGGGGCAACACAAAATTAATACTGTGATCGGTGTGTCTTTTTTAGGGGATCCCTTAAGATGGTGGTTTCCTTGTGGTCTCCCTTTAAAACCACAAAACAAGGGTGCCCTCAAGAAAACGCCACACGATTGCTTTTGAATCCGTCCGCAGCCAAAGAATGCAACCAGAAACGTGAAGCACCCGATTGATAGTCGATCCTCGCAAGCCAACCAAAGAAGCACAAGTAACGCAACAAGCCAAGCAAACCAAATGAACCGATCAAACCAAATGAACACCAATCAATCCCAAATGAACTTGTGACATAAGGACCCGCCACAAAAAATGATGTGTTGCTAAGGCGGTGACCAATATGTTCGACGCGGCTGACAACCTGGTGGGGCCATCTCTGACCCTCGGGCTGTGAGCGCGCGGGGCAAGCGCCCAGGAGATTTGTGCGTGTGACTTAGGATTCGGATCCCCCTCAAATGGGTTCCCTTTCGATTCTCTTCAAAACAAACACACACACACACACCCTTGTAGCGGGAGAGGGAGAGGGGGAGAGAGGGGCTGGAAGAGGGAGAGAGAGAGAGAGAGAGCCAGTAGGAGTTTGTCAGGGAGCGAGGAGTGCTCCCTTTGCCTTGGCCCAGTTTCGTTCTTTTCCAGCATGCTGAAGATGTTTTGTCCACCGGAAGATGTTTTGTCCACCGTAGAACTGGAACCGGAGCAGCTAATCCATGGTGTCAGCCGAGCAGCCGCTTCAACGCTGGAAATGAGACCCTTTTCGCCACGAAACTTGACAGGGAAGACTCTCCAAATTGGGTGGAGGAAACATATCCTGCATGTTTGCTTGATGTTTGTTGTTCTAAAACCCGTGCAGGTCTGGGATATGATGAATGGATGTTGCTCATATCGATCATCAGACTTGCGATGACTTGCGGCTTCTGTTCCTTCCTATGGGGCAAGTTGGCACCGCGCGCGGGGAAAGCACAAAAAAACACATGACAACTCCTTGGCATCAGCCGCTGTTAACCACTGACCAAGGAAAGAGGTGTTTGCCCCACGGTCGACTGGAGCTTCAGCTCTTAGGCCAAGAAAAGATTGGGGGAGGTACTCCTCTCAGCTCGCTCAAGCGGTTGGTCTTGGGCTTTTGGCGTGGGCATGAGCCAAGACGCCATACGCAGAGATCGCTTTGAACATCCAAACTCGGCCCAGGTGCCCAGAGTCGTCACTTGACGCAATGTAGAAGAGGGTTTTGCAGCGCGCAACCATGCGTCCATGTTTCCAAATGGTCCGGCAAACTGTTGCGACATAAATTGCCGAGGGTGTACCCCACTCCATTCCAATGACAAAACGGGCCTCCAGCCAACCAAAGCAGCCGAGATGGCCCGAGGAATCCTCAGCTTCTGCCCGCGGGCGGCGCTCCTGCACCCAAGGCGAGCCACGAGCGGACGGAATTTCGCCAAGGCTTCGCAAGGCCTCAAGCCTGGTGTTAGCTCACTAAGCTTTTGGGTAATTAAGTCTTTGAGTAATTAAGTGACTAGCTTCTTGAGTGACTAGTTTTGGGTGACTAGATTCTAAGTGACTAGTTTTTTGAGTAGTTAAGTCTGAGGCGACAAGCTGCGAACCTCGACCCCCAAACATGGGCTTCGCTTTTTGTTTGGTGTCCTGCTAACAGCACTTCATCCGGGTGAGGGGGGGGGGAGGGGGTGGTTGGGGTGAAAGAAAGGACACGCCTGGATGGTCGCGAGGCCCTGGTTCAGAGCAACGTCATCTTTTCACGGAGCTGCTCCGTTGGCTCCGTTTGCCACATGGTTTCCCTGGGGCCAAAGCTGGGCTTCTGTCGGGTCTTGATGAACTTTGGTCGAGGACCATGGCCAGCGTTTGCAATAGACCCAGAGCGAACACTGGACGTTGTCCCAAAATTGAGCCCTCTCTCCAATGGAAGGCCCTTCAGAGTCGCCCTCTTTCGGCTCTGCCGGAGCAGGTGGCTTCTGTGATCTTCCATGCGCTGTATCCCTTTCGGATTCCTTCAACTGGCTCTTGGATGTCCGATGTCTCGGTGCCGGAAATTTTGCGCGACCTTTGGCCGAAGTCGAAGAAACGCCAAGCCGACGTATTTGTGCCAGCAAAAATTGCACCCCACGGTGAAGTTCCCTCGCTGGGCACCCCTTGTGGGCATGGACGCCAGTTTTGACGACGTGTGCAATCCAAGCTCGGCGGTTTCCGCCAGGATTTCAAGCAGGCCATCATCGAGCCTTTGACCCGGCTCTACATGAAGTACAGGAGCGGAACCCCCCCCCCCCCCGAGCTGAGTGCACGCACGGGCTGGGGTGGGGCCCTTCACGCAAACATGGGCCCGGGGTTCTCGAAATCGTATTGTGGGGGTTGTTCCTTTCAACCACCAATGCAAGGGTGATCTTGTGAGACTGAAAACGCACTGAGTCGGGCCATTGCGAAAAAGCCAGTGGTGATCCAGGCTCCATTTTGTTTGCCTTAGGGTCTAACGGTTTCTCAAGTTTAGGCACCGCTCCAGGTGGTTGGTGTCCCTAAGCCGTACAAAAGCTCTTTTTTGAATAATAACCAAATAACATATGTTTTTTAAATCAACCAACACCCAATAAAAGGGTTTTTCGATTCAAAAGGCAGATTGTTTGAGACACGCCCAACTGTTTAAGAACAATCTCATGCCACATATGCAGGAGCTGGCCGCTTTGGTATGAGGGATTTGCCTAAAGGTGCCTCGAGATTGATTCCCTGGCTTCATAGGGTATACATATATTTTTCTGCTACCCCCCCCCCCCCCATGGACACTGGTTTTGCTGTCTTTTGGGATGGCAAATCTAGAATCTCGAGATTTAAATCCTTGAAATTTGCAATTGTGGGTCCTCAAAGCCTCATAGTTTGGGAGTCCTCCGAAATGTCCCAATATGATACCCTTTCCAAATAGGATTCTACTTCAACTACAGTTGGAATTTGGAATATAATGTGGTTAGGATATAGCTTTCAAAATGTGTTTATGCTTAACATTGCCCAACTACAGCTTATATAAGCAAATTCTTTCGAAATTATAGTTTCGGGCAAACTCCAACTAATCTTCAGCAAAAGACGTTAGATAGGAGTGTATTCCAAAATGTAATCTAAGCGTTAGATATAATCTAATACGAACACAACTCAATTAGCTTTTGATAATAACAATTAAATAGAGACTGCTTCTCAAATATAGTTCATATTAAGTATGGCTAAACATTTAAGGGACGTGTACAAGGAAATTCGAAATACGATTTGTGTTATTGATATCCTGGCCCTTTTGCAGCAGAAGAAAGGTCCGAAATTAAACTTCTTAGACGGTGTTCCAAAAGGAAACTTCAAGGGAAGAGAGGTTCAAATTCTAAAACTATTTCGAAACAGGGATTCTAGCTGAATTAGTTGTATTTAAAGTTTTATTTGCACAGGAAAACACAAGTCATTCTATCTCAAAAGGTGAAGGTAGTAGATGAGCAAATGTGGAGAGGTAGTTCAAGAGGGGGGGTGACGGCATATGTATACATATATACCTACACACACATAATAGTACCCCTAATGATCCTGCGCCTCTTTACAAAATACTGTAAACATACAGTGGTTTTGAGCATTACACCTGCCTTTGTTTACCTCCTGGAAAAGGGTCAACATGCTTCATAGCTAACATGAAGCAAACCGCTCACCAAAAGCACTTGAAAGTTTGTCTGACTAATAACTTGAAAGTGCTTCCACTGGATTGCTAAGCACTTGAAAGTGTTTTACCACTGGATGGAAAAAAAAACAAGATTGAATATTGCACAGAAAACTGTCCTGAGAACTGTCAACCCTGGTCAAACCCAAACAACATTCAAGTTCTTCTCACACTTGAAAGTGCTTTACCACTGGATTGAGGATTCAATATCGAGGGTTGCACAAACAACAACTTTCCTGAGAATCATCCATCCTGGTCAAACCCTAAAAATGATCAAGTTGTTCTAAAACTTCGAACGTATTTTACCACTGGATTGAAGATATTGAAATATTTCACGGAAAGCTTTTCCGAGAATCTTATAGAACAACTCAGTTTTTTGTTTTTTAGATATGGGATTCAAGGTTCAAGATTCCCAGAACATCTATTCTCAGATAATATTGAATCTTTAATCCATACATGTTCAAGAACTTTTAACAATTCTGGGATTTAAGCTTCAAGATTCCCATATTTTTTTCCTCAGATTCTTGAATCTTGAATCCATTAAACAAAATCTGAGTTGTTCTAGTACTCTTGGATGTATTCAAACTCTTTCAAATTGCAGATGCTGATGTCTTCGCTTTTGTCACATGTGTATGCGTGCATGCATATTATATACTTGTGGCACACCCCTAATTTCGACACACAATCCAAGAAGCAAACAAAAGGCACAAAACACTGGACAACTACAGGTCAAACTCACCAAACCAGGGTCCATGGGGGGGGACCATATATATATATATATACATACGTGTTTTGAGGCTCGGTGTCCTTTTTGGGGTTTAGAGGAAAAGCAGACGGAAGCCCAAAGGACATGTATGGAGGGTTTCCAATTCCTATTTGGAGACACATCCATATACATCCGTATAATCATGCTGGTGTATTCCTATTGGCTTTCCATTTACCAACCGAAACGGGGTGCAAAAAGGCTCGCCCGCCATCAGGAAATCCACTGGATTGATTCCCGGGGGACGACACAAGTTTCGCCTGTGATGTTCAAAGGGGCACATGGCTTGGGGTGCTGCCTCTTGCAAACACAACCATTCGGACTGGTTTCACTGAAGATCGCTCCTGACAGTGGAGAACACGGTATTGTGAAGGAATGAGCCTCTTTCCTTGTATGTGCCATGGTCAAAAGTTGTCCCTGTCAGTCATGGTTAGGATTTCTGTCAGAAGCCGTTCTGCCACATGAAGATGTGCAAAGCGATGGGACCGCACATGTTCAGGCAACCGAGCATTGGATGGCCCAGGTTTCCCACAGGTAAGGAGCCAGGCGGCAAATGTCGCCTAGGTAGCATGTAGGCTTTGTCCACACAAGGGTGCGAAAAGTTGTATTGCCATGATACTCATGTTGTCGTTGTATCCTTTCCGTTGCTACTGCATTCTTGCAGCATGAGGACTGAACAGCTGCCGCTTCTCTTCTTTGCGCTTGTCAGAAAGTGGCCCACTTGCGTGACGGCCGTGGCGGACATTTGTTTCATATCCTGGCACGTGTGTGTATCGACCATGCCCACTTGCTTCATCACATGCTAACGGATGATCTCTTTCTCCACGCGTGAGCTCCGCGTTTCGGAGCTTGGCCCTGCCGTGAAGAGTGAGGCGCGAACCATCCCCAGTGGGGGATCTGAACCCGCCGTTGTAGAGAGAAACCTCCAAGCCAACGGGCTCCAAACCAGTTGGAAGGAAGCTGAGAATGTGAAGGTTGGGCCCAAGAAAATGCATACGCCCTGCGAATTTGGCAGGACTGCCGTCTACCCGCGCTGCAAGGACTGCCGGATCGTGGGGGCGCCTAGGGGTTGGGTGTGGAGTTGGGGTGACTTGGGGTGTGGAGTTGTAGGCACGAAGTTATACCTTACAAGAGGAGGTACTTGGAGCCAAGATTCGCTCGTGGAGTCGGGAGAGACCAAGAAGTTGGCCATCAGAAAGTTTAGCATTAACCCTTGTGAGGTCTTGAGAAAATGTCTACAAGCAAGCTTGAGAAAGTCGAGGTGTCCGACCGAATTGCTCTGGTTAAAAGTAATGGGTGTTGCTCGTTTTTTGCGATATGACCAGCCTGTGGCCTGTGGCCCACCCAGATCGTGCGCTACGGACGTCTCTGGCGCCTCTGCCGAGTGCGTCGTCACAAGGCTGGGGGTCCAAGCTAGGATCTTCTAAACGGGGCCCTATGGTGAGTGGACCGAAAGGGCAAAGATTGAACCAACCGCCCTGCAAAGTTGCTGTCCAAACTTGAAAATTGATGTATGGACCAGCCCTGAACAAATTGTGAATGTCCTCTTTAGATAAAGAGAGACCAAAAGACAACCCGTTTCTGCCTGGCTCCTTAAATTTTCAGACACCCCCAGGATGCAAGCAACTGCCAAGGACGACCATGGCTTGGACCGACTTGGGCCGGTCTACTTGTGCTTCTAGCAGCGTGTTTGGGCCAAGAAGTCACAAGGTCAAGGTACAGAGGACGTCAAAGAACTTCTGTCTCCAAGTGGAGCCTGCTTCGTAGTCTTGGTTGGGATGCGCAGGGCCGACCTCCGCTTTTTTTGGCAGCTCTGCCGGCCTGACTTTGAGTTCGAGGAAATCGGTGTAAATATCTGAACCATGCCCCCGGTTTGCTTGTTGATTGAAACGCAGCTCCAGGATATCCAAGTTTTGACTTGAAGGGGATCGCCACCCCCTGCCCCAAAGTTTGTTGGCCTTATTCAGCCTGTCATGCCCCTGTGTTGCCGGAGAATCACAAGAGGATGTTCAATCAATCACTGTTGGCCTAACTCAGCCTGTTATTCCCCTGTGTTGCCGCATGTTCAATCAACCACCGTTTCCGGCCCTGAAAACACCCCTTCCCCGGGTCTTAACGCTTGGGCCAGCTGCGTCAACCGGGCATCACCACCTTCAAGAAGCGCATGAACAAGTACGGCGGGCCCGGAAGCCCAGCGATAGGATCGAAGCTTCGTGCGTCCCTTTGCAACTTCAGGAGCCTTTTGGAAACGCACGTGGGCTGTGTTGTTTTAAGGGGACCCCCCAAAATAAAATGGATGTGGGTCTTAATAAAATGGATGTGGGTCTTAATAAAATGGATGTGGGTCTTAATAAATGGAGTTGGGTCTCCCTTGTGCTGTTCCTTTGAAGCCACAACAGATGGGTACCAACTCCGAAAAGGACACGATCGGAATCCGTTTATTAGACACCGTTAAACAGGTCACCTGATTTACAGTAGAAAGTCCGGCTGCTAGAAAACCGATGCTCGTATTCAGGGCTCAGTGCCGCCTCTCCCTGAGTGCTAAGCATAATTCAACTTTCTCAAGCAGGTCTCGATACCACTCATGGATTCGTAAATCAATGATTTAGACAACAAACCAGGCTTTGATTGCGACTCAAGCGACTTGATGTCTTTGGCGGCCTGATCTGTTCTGCATTGCTCCCGGGGAAAAGAACAAGCGTTGTGGTGGTTTGAACCAGTTCTCACACGCTGAAAGGGAAGCAAAAGGGAAGCTGACTGGGGTCCGTTGCTCCATGCACCGCTCCAAGGTGGGCGCAGTCCAACGTTGCTCCTGGCCGCTGA